TATTAACTTGAATAATAGTTTATTAAGACATTATTAGTTAAATAACAAGAAGTAATTGCGGTAGATTAACCGTTGTTCAGGCATCGACCATCAGTCCGTTTTATGTGGAAACAGAAAGGAGGATGCAGGAGATTAACAGGAAGTGGTTTTCTTCTGTGTTCCTGACAGTGGCGTGATTTTCAAAGGAACAACAATCGGGATGGCGCCGCTGGAGGGAATGTGCAGCCTGGAAAACTCTGGAGGAATCACTGTGGTAAGTTATAAGCAGTTTCTCCTCTCCTGTGTTTTTTTTTCTTTTTTCCAGGTATTTAAGCTGGAGTTGGTCTTTTCAGAACCTCAGAGATATTTTTATCAAATGTTGCTTAAGATCGAATTAACGGATTACGGTCGAAATGAAAGTTTCGGCTGCCAAATGGCAGCCATCTTCCAGCCACTGGCCTTCTCCTGGGCGTGTGATTTTTTCGTCCCTTTCACTGAATTACAGGGTCTGACCAGGAGATGGCACTTCTCTTTAGATCTTATTGTCCGCAAATCAAGACAGAAAGAATATTTTAGTTCAAAGATTGATGTTTAAAAAGGAATTGAAGTCGACCAGCCAAGGAAATTTGGAATAGCTGCTACTGTAAGTGGAAAATCCAGCTGTTCTTGTCTTTAAACGGGATTAAGTTGTTGGAGCAGCTAAAACAGCCACTGGGTCCGCTCTTCTTCCTCTGGTTCTGATTAGCCGATTGGTAGCACACAGAGAGAGAAATAGATTTTTGAAGTTCCCACGCAGACAGATAGGACTCATGTTTTCCCAATTTTTTATACACAATTTTTTCTACTATACACACATTTGTATTTTTTCCTTTTGTCCTGATTCAGTTTCTAATTTCCATGTTCTGATCACCATTATGCCTTTGCTGTTTTTACTTCCTGTGTGGTTGGATTTAATAGTTTCCTATCTAAGCCTGCCAGTTTACCCTCTTTTCAGTTCGCTGTCAGAAGACTGGGGTCCGTTTTAATTAGCTGGTTTAACAAACACAAATCCTCAACTCTGAGTTTTCGGTTTCATAAAAGCGGCTATAAGTTCGTTTAATCAACTCTAAGTAGGTCCACTAACAGCTCAGCATGTGGCTGACAAGAATGAAAAACTGTTATCAGTGGAGCCCCGATTAGAACCATGACGACAGGCAACAGGAAGTGCCTATTTCACCCCATTGGATTGGTTGTAAGGAGAGTGGAGACAGAGGATACTGGCTGGTTCTCAGTTCAGTAGAACGTGAGTACGGACTCGTGTTCTCGCCAAGTCTGTTCTTGAGAAGAACACAGGAAAGTCTGGACTCGGGGAGAACCGGAGCACGCAGCATTAATCTGGGTTAATTGGAACAGAAGCGTACTGATGACATCACCACACGCTCAGCTCATCTGGAGCTGCATTTCACCTCTTGTTATTAATAGGTCTGGGATAAGCGGACCGCAGTCCAGATCTGGACCCACCTGCTAGCTAATTTGGACTCAACCTGATTTAAAACATTTTTTTCTGCATGTTGTCTGACGACAGTGTCTAACTTCACTTGCTCCACTTCTCCTGTTAATATGGTAAAGCCCTGGGGAGCATCCGGCTCCAGGCTGCATTCAAACCCAGGTTTAAAGCCTTGCAGGGCAGCCTAAAGCCCACTGCCAACATTAAGCTAGCCTGATAAACCAGACTAAATGTGAGATTAAATGTGTAATCTAGTCTGGATCCGATGAACGAGACATCGGAAGATTGTTGATGAGAACAACC